GTATATACATATACATATATATATACATTTATATATAAGATTGATTCAAGAATTAGAATCGATCATGAAACAGATGTCTGGAATTAAGATGCATGAGAAGAACCGCTGCAACAGGAACTCTTTACTTGTTCTGCTTCCTCAGTCTCATCTTCAACTACAACAACATTGCGACGTACAGTACTTTTCGTTCTGGCTAATGTGGACTTTTGTTCCATCAGGTCTGCGTGTTCTATCATACGCAACGTTAATTGAAGAAACATTTCCTCGATGTTCTCATCTAATTTGGCAGAAATGTGAAAGTGCATTGCGCCAGCTTTGTTCGCGAACCTGGCAATGAAAAATTGTGTTAAACCAGATTCCTGCGAAAAGGAGAATCAACAAAATTGGAGTAGAACTTACTCTTCAGCTTCCTCGATGTAAACACGTCTGTCCTTGTCGAGATCTATTTTATTCCCAGCTATTGCTAAACAGATTTCACTGCCTAACATTTTCCTAAGTTCTGTAACCCAATTTATTACCTGTGAATAAAACGTTAATATAGGATACAGGATAGTGTAAAAGTAATCTTCTTTAAATCTTTACCCTTAAGAATGTATCATAATCTGTGACATCGTAAACTATAACGGCGCCGTTCGACATCCTGTAATATATTGGTCCCAATGCATGAAATTTCTCTTGACCAGCTGTATCCCATATTGCCAGGTTCACTTTCTTCCCATTTACTGTTAATTTTTTGTTTAGAAAAGAAGCCTGAAAGCATACAAGAACATGTACAATTTTATCATATACACCATCTCTTTAATTTAATCTAAATACAGTTTCTTTTCAATCTCAGTTCAACGTCATTATTAGTAACAACTTAAGATTAACAATGACAACATGAAAGTCTCTGGTACCAACTTTTTAACCAATCTGAATTCTCTTACTCTTAAGTGAGTCACAAGTTTTCTTATCTCCCACAATTTATTAAACATAAAAGAATGATACAGTATTGAGTTTTACATAAATACAGAATGCAGTAAATTTAGGATGCAAACAAAATACAGGAAAAGGATGTCAATTGTAGAAACATGTTTCACCTGCAATGTACTTAGGTGTTTATCATTGAATCTGTTTTCAACGTATCGCAATGCAACCGATGTTTTCCCGACACATCCTTCACCGAGCAACACTACTTTGAAATTATAACCATTACCAGTTGTACTGATCGAACTGGCCATAATTTGTAAATAACTAATGTACACACTCAGAAGTCAGTATCACAGTGACAATTGCGTAGAATGATCGTTGATAACACAATTTATAGAGTATATTGACGAGTGACGATCATAACGCTTGGTGATATCCACGGGTGGGGCCCCTCACGCGGTTTTAACTCCCACCACGCGGGCAAATAGTGGGGTGACTCTTCTCCTCATCCTGCGTCCCTTTCTTCGACGCGTTCGTACGAACAGTCACATGATTTCTTTATTTCGTATTCGATCGGCATAGTATGAATAATACGTAATTACTGAAACATAATCTTCGATCAGTACCAGAGAAAGTATATTGTCCACCGTAATGTAAATTACATTCGATCACTCAGGTGCGAAAATCGCGCTGATCTATAGTAAGATCATACAACTGGCGAGACGGTTTCCTTGACAACAAACTCCAACGAGTGGGGGGAAGACCATTTTACTATACATTTTCACGAATTTTGACAAAGATAATTTAATATTATTGATACTTGTGAGTATCGTTGAGTATGAGAGAAAACAGCCAGTATGAAACGCATTTTTATTTTGAGTAATGTCAAAATGAAAGGAATCAGCTGTTCTAATCTCAGTTCTGTATGCTTACACGACTGACGACAGTAACAACGGCAACGACCGATCGTCAAACGTACACATATTTTGCTTATATTCATTTCATCTTTCGTCTGCTTTCGTCTTGTCTCCAAATTCAGGTTCGGGTGACGTGACCGGGGACAGAACAGATTTGTTTTGAATAGGAAAACCATGAAGGATTTACGTCCCGTAATTGTTTCATTATCATATTAAAAAACTGTCCAGTTTCTGTGTTTCTCGCATTGATAAAACGTATCTTTGATAGATTAAAAAATATATATCTATATATGTGTACTTATAATTTCTTTTTTATTATACGTGTAATGCATGAAGATGGCGCTACTTTCTCTGTTACTAAGTCACCGCAATTTCGCTTGTATTACTCTGACAAAAGTTATTTCGTCCCATATATTAATGATCCTTTGGTTTGTACGTAGATTTACGTATTAAAGTTGGTTCAAAACGGTTGATTAAAGTTCGTTTGTATCTTAAAAACCAAGATTTCTATTGCCTTGGTACCCTGGTGGTACGTCAACGAACTGACGTCCGACAAAAATCAAATCCCTTACCGGAAGTCAGTTTTATGTAAAATCGTAATCTAAGTTCTGTATATTATTAGAATAGGACAAACGTAATCCGCGGTAAATCTACTCGTAAAAAACGGGTGTTCCACGCGTGTGGAGAAGATGACGACAGGCGAAAATAAAAATTGCGTGTCCAATGTGCGACGGTTGCTTATTTGACTAGAGTATGTAACAGAGCCAGCGCCGTGAGCCTGCGCAAAGGAACTCTCAAATCTGGCCGTCACCTGTATTGAAAAGGTAAGTACTCTGCTGTCACTAATCTAAACATATTAATATGAATTTCGCGAACACGTGTCACGAAAATATGATGTATTGATAACGCGACGCGCTGTCAGCAGCTTTGTGGATTGTCACGGGGAATTAACCGCGCGTTACGGGTAAATATGTTCCGAGACGTCTGCGTCTTCGGCTCCGGATACTGATCTGCCAGGCTGCTGTATCATCACCGAACACAATTGACATTTATTTTTCATTCCGGCGTTATCATCAGCCATCCCCTTGATCCGTCCTCGGTACACGCCACTGTAATCGTCCAAATTTTGTTGTTTTATGTCAGTGTAGCCGGAAACTTTCACCAGATCGTTCGGTACCGTGGTACATGTCGTAGATTTTTCGTTGTCGGCACTCATCGTTACGTTGACAGGACATCGAATAACGTACAGAGAATCTGTACGTAAATCGTGATAGATATCAGCCGATCATCAGGCTTCGTACATTCCCTACATGAACGACGATTCCCGCGTTTTACTTGCGCGGCTGTTCCACTTGGCAAGTGGACTTGTTTGTTTGTGCGTGCCGTATCATCTGTCATGGCGTGCCCGCTTGTGGCGGGTATCGTATCGTTCACTTTTCCGATTACATTGTTCGGTCAAAGTATATGTCAGTCGGCGTTGTGACATGGGTCGTTTCAGGGAAATCGTCAAATAATTTCTGAAACGTTGTCCAGGAGGTAATATCGTGTTTATCTGATATTTCAAGATGGATGTATTGTACGTTATTCGGTACAGTTCGGGGTTGGTTGGAACGGGGGAAGGGAAGGAGTCGGCGATGGCGACGGACTGTACAGTGGCACGCGCCATGTCGGTCTCCTGCTTGCGCACGTCCTTCGTTTCGTAGCACCACGTTTGCCTGTAGTAGATTTCTTTTTTTGTCTTCGTGAAAATGGCACACGACCTGTCACGAGTAATCTTCGGTAGGGGCCCAACGCGCTCGAAAAGGGAGGCCCACGAGTCACGTTTAGTACCACGTATGCCCTGAAAATTGATCTTCGTCCGAAATAAGAAAAAAGGACTCGAAACTTGTACATTCTCGATTTTCGAATATTGCTCCACACATAGCGTACTTCTTTTGTTTACAAGCTTTTCAGGGCATGAATAGATTTCCTTTACTTTCTTTACTATAATATCATATTCTATATTTTTCATTTCTCAGTTATAATAATTATTACATCAATATACTTTATGTTTGACGGATATGGTTCAATTGTCTCATATTAATACATACAATTAACAAAATATAAAGATGCATGCGTCAGTAATCATTTATAAGTAATTTTTGTACTCGAAAGTTTACATGTCACAAAGGTAGAAAAATATGCGTCTCGGTATTTTTATTCTGACCAAAATACCGGAACCTGTTTTATCACAATGTAGGTCATCTCGATCAGATACTTGCGACATCGTTAAACATCAGTTCAAACGAAATCGAAGTCGAAGTACTTGTAGGTATTATTGGTAACAATCTCGCGTTCGTGTTTGTCGTAGCTGTATGAAGAGCAACGATAATTCATTTGAGTTCATTTCTACCAGAACGCGTATATAATCCATATTTACATTGGGGGATGCTGCTTCTTCTATTTTTAAAACCGTAGAGCAACTGTAAAAGTGAGAACGAAAGTTAAACTACTAAGAGTTAGCGTGTCAGGGCCATGGCATGTTCTGCACTCCTTTTGGTTCTTCTTTTTCTTCAATCTCTCTTTTCTGATGTGTCACGAACAACTTTAATTGTCTCAGGAATAATTTTATTCCCCACGAAATGGTATACAGTGAAACATATTGATTGTAATTAGGCAAACGAAGTTCAGGTGATCAAAATGTTGTTGTTAATTCATCCTATGTTATTTTTAAATCATATCTGTCTTCGAAAACTCAAATATGATTGACGTGCTCGTGTTTATCAGTTACATGTAAAGTTTACGTCACAAAATCAAGCATGTATCATGTGAAATAAGAATTGTAGTTAAATCTGACGTCTTCGTATCTTAAGAGTTCTTCTTTTATCTGACGTTAGCTCTTGTATTTTGGTCTTGACATTGGTTTCCTAAACGAATACACGAATTATGGGTAGCATTTAATATGCGTGCAACAGGGTCAGAGATCTGAGTTGTATCAGGATGAAGAGGCAACCGATCAACAAACCACGTGGCAACATCGCTCTTACCTCCTCTTTTTCCTTCCCCCCTTCCTGTGCTGTCTGATGTCCCTTACATATCGTCCCCCACTATGATCATTGACTGCAACGAGGCGAAAGCACATTTACATTTTTTGCGTACAGTACGTTGCAACATTCTTACTTTGACGTTTCAACTACCGATGGCGCCACTCCCAGAATGAGTTGAAAAAAAAATATGTCGCGCACTGAAACCGAGAAAGACGTTAGCATTCAAACCGGTAGATCCATGATGCATTGCGGGGGTTTAATGTTGCGCTGAAACTTAGCCATTGACACTCATTTACATCGTTTACATGTATAAATTTCGTGACCTTCATGTCGATCTTACTTGACTACAATTTTGGAATATAACTTCAAGTAAAAATACGTATGGGTATATCGTCGGAAGTACATACTTTAATTTCGTATCGTTGAGTAAGCTTGATTACGTTCCCGAACAAAATCATCCTTGAGAAAGACAAGGACGAATGGGCAGCATGCAGAGCAAATTCGGCGCATTGAAGGAAAACTGGTTTGCCTCCGTGTCGTGCGTCGCATTTTACTATGACGGTTACCGAATAAGCATTTCCAAATAGCCAATGCAATTGCTCAAGCGAAACACACCCCTGTAGATGGCAAAATTTTAATGGACGCTATCCGCGATGCACGGCACGTCAACTTCGCAGATCTGAATTTTAATTAAGCGAAGGTGTTACGAGATAAATACAAAACGATAAGACGATAATTATTTCGGAAATGCAGATCCTATCAATACTTCGAAATGTTTCTCGCGGTTCTCACTGTATTTAACTTGTCCTATTGAATTTTCTGTATTCAAATCTGGAAACTCTCATGGAGGAAACAAGAGAGGATGTTTCAAGTAATTCCGCGACTCACGTGTATACATATGTATGTACATACGTAGGCAATGTATTTTTCGCACGTTGCACTTTGTTGTGGTTTCACGTTTCCTATTTTTAGACCCGTATTTTGTTGGCGGACCGCAAGCTTCTATTTCTCTTTCTTTTCACATTGATATTCGTTTTCGACCGTTTAATAATAAAATTGTACATTCGCTCACACGATCTTTCTATTCATATGTTTACAACGTATATCTGCAAATTACAGTCTTTGACCATCGAAAATAATTGCACTCTTTTACATTACATCGATAACAACAATATAAATACAAGAATTTAGTGACGAATTGCACGCTTTATCTAGATAAGCGTCTTGATTAGAGCTACATTAGTACAAATCTCTGGGAAAGTATTGTTTAGATTTTAGATTCGTAAGCTGATAGTGGTTTTTAGATGACACAGCGCGGTGTATAATACGATGACAAGCGAACAGATTCTGTATAGAAAAGAAATTGTTCTGTGTAAAAGTGTCGATCTCCTTTAGCACATTGTTTTTCTTTGCAGTTTTATCGTGTGTAATATAAAGTGGGGATTCGTGAGATTATGGACGCCCCCTAGTAGCGTGCGTGCGTGCGTGCGTCACAACGCGTAGCGTCTTGCACGTATACACTGTCAAGCCGAAATCGCGGTGTTAGTTACAGAAAGAAGTGGCAACGAATTGATGTAAACAAGTATAATAAAGATGATGACGATCAGTGGTTTTCTCGTCACGACGAATTATCGCGGTTGAACTTTTTATACATGATTTTTATACATACCGTACGGGACAGAAAACGGAGCTAATTTTCGTGCTACTGTCACGAGCCATCGAAACATGCTGTTCTCAGTGTCAAAGGTATAATAACTTTCAGGACGGCATTTTAAGCGTACGGAATGACTGATTTACCTACAATTATTTTTTATTCCTCTGCCTATATTCAATTCTTCTTTGTAGGTATTTGCTTACAGTAATAAACAGTTAATAAATTGCAAAGCGTATATTGGAATGTGTTTGGTTGGGATAAATTTTTATTGGTTTTTTGTGAATTTATTATCATATGATATGATTTCTTTATGTAAGATCTTAAAATCTTTTAATATCGCCTTGTTTTATCGTCGATTTAAAAATGTCATTTAACTTTTCGACTTTTACAGAAGCAGTCTGAAAATAACGTGCAAAATGTTTAGTTTTCATAAGCCAAAGGTGTATCGATCTAGTACCGGATGCTGCATTTGTAAAGCCAAATCAAGCAGGTAAATAATACATAGGTCAATGATGTACTTTATGCACGAACGGTACGTCCCATTAATTAAACGTTATAACAGTGTATTATCTTGTCTTTTCTTTTTGCAGCTCCCGGTTCACAGACAGCAAAAAATATGAGGATGATTTTATGGAATGCTTCCAGCTTGAAGAGAGAAGAACTGGAGAAATTTGTAATGCATGCGTGCTTTTGGTAAAAAGATGGAAAAAATTACCGGCAGGAAGTAATCGCAATTGGAGACATGTGAGTCTTAATGGATTCGATTTATTTTCAATGATTAGTTAAATACACAGTTATTAATAAACAATTTTATTTTATTTGTACTACAGGTAGTAGATGCACGTGCAGGACCTGGAATTAAATCGCTGACTAAATTTAAATCGAAAAATAAAAAAAAGATAAAAGATTTACCGGAGAAGTTTGAAAAGATTATGAAGAAGAAGCACCTGTATCTAAAAGCAGATAGAGATCGAGAAGAAAGCCCAGCAATTAACGATGACTTAGTAGGTTGGTGTCCAATTCATTAAAATAATAAGTATTGAAATCAGAAATATAATTTTGTAATCTATATTTTCTTGTTTATTTAGAAGATTATTTGAACGGGAATGGTAGCAAGGGTTCAAGTCGTGCTGGTAGTCCTATAGGTAGTGATGATATTCCAGTAACTGAAAAACAATTAAACATACAGGATAATCCAGAAGTAAAGGATGACTTAACTGTTAATGGTTTTATCGATTTAACGTACTTTAAAAGGTTAGTCTTAATTTTATTCTTGACTTAAGATTAACAATTTACTTTTATTAAAACGTTTATATGTCATGTCTCAGGGAAATCATTTGTTGTGGAACAATATTCAAGGGTCCATACGGAGAAGTGATAGTAGATCCCTCGCTTATAAAACCCTGCATCGGTTGCATAGCTAGACAACAACGACGGCAACAAACTAGTGCAATGAGCTGCAGTCCTGCGCATAGTTCTGCGTCGGCTAGTCCTGTCCACAGTTCGGCGTCCGCTAGTCCTGCCCATAGTGTCGAGTCTGGTACCGAGGCGACGGTCTCGAAGCAAACAAGCAAAATGTTCAGTGACTCGTCGTCCGATTCCGGCTATGACGAATGTTCCAACCAAGGAGTTGGCGAGAGTAAGATTACCAAAATTATTCAAAACACAAGTGCTACCGTAAAGCCGCCGGCAGTTAAAATACAACCATTGAAGAGTGTTCAACTAAAAGCTATACCAGTATCGGAAGCTGTCAGGTTAAAAACAGACGTGCCAATCAAGTTGGTACCTATCAAACAGATCGATCAGTTATCTTGTAAGCCATTATCCTTAGTTTCGTCTGCCAATGTCGCTTTAAGCAGTAATAATTCACACTCCATCGTTACCGTCCCAAATAATCCACTCGTCGATTTTGCCATGCACGCAGCCTCCGCCAGGCAGTCAGTCTCTAATTAATGTCAGTCTCTCGTAGAATTTTAATTTATATTTTTTCTTATCTAGTTAGATGTATGCTACGATGCAAATTCGTGTGTTGCGCATTTCTATCATCACCGTACCAGTTAACAAAGGTCTTGGATAAGGGTGTTTAAGTTTTATCATATCCAGCACTAAGGGACAAGAGTTTATAATGTTATAAATGGCGAGAAGAAACTAATTACTTGTAATTAGGGTAAATGTTATTGATGTGCAGTAGACAGATAGTGCTCTTAGGAATGGTTGCAGGATCTACGTCCTTGGTCGTTGATTGTTGACAAAAAATATATATATATAAATATGTATATATAAATATATATTATTATGTATGTAATATTGTCTTTCTGGACGTAAGAGTTCGCTCGTCGTCTATCGGATGATTTTTAAAAATGATCAGCTGAAAAAGAGCACGATTTTTCTACTGAACGCCGTTTGTAGGATACATGTAAAATGCTCATAAACTGCCATAAATTAGTAATTGCTATCTCTCGACGAGTGACATCGACTCGCGGGATGTTATCAATTATTTTCTATGCGTAATAATTAGCTACGTGCATCAAAATGCTGTGATGAACATTGTAATGTAACGAATTAGAAGATTGTTATTCATGAAATGGCAGTTTATAATTAAGCATTAGTTAATGTACTCTAATGGTACGAACGTTTTCTTATCCACGGCTTTTCGTTCTCTGGGTTATCTATCATCGCAATTATCTATGTGAATATTTGTATAGAAGTTCCAAGATGCCAATCATAATACTTCAAACGTTTGGGTCCAAAAATTAAAAACGAAAATAAGAGAGAGCGGAGAATTCACTTAGGGTCATGATAGCTACATTGTACCAGGTGCATTTTGAAATGATTCATGCAAAGGTCCATGACGTTAAAATTAAGTAATTCAACTTAAGAGAAAAATGTATTCAGGTACTGTAAATCCTGGCCCGCAAATAGCAATAATACGGAGGGTAACTTTATTATTAAAATAAACGAAGTCTGTTACATAGCATCATATCACTATGATGATATATTTAGGCAGTATTATTAGAGGAAGAAAAAAAAATGAATAAGAACACGGCAATCAGATTGGCAAACTGGACCAGAGAAACTTTGTTATAATATTTCAGGGTGACTGCATCAATGTATAAAAAGAAACAATTGATTAACACCAGAGTAGCGGCGATTATACGAAATAAGTGTAATGCTAAATAAGTGAAAACTGTTGGTTCCTAGTTTTCAGAGATGGGCACACGACCGAACAAAAGCACACAGAGGTACCTGTTCGAAACAGATTACTGTGATCATTGGATTATCGTTTTTAACTCCTTCTTACATATTAACAATGTCCTGTTTTCTTTTTCGATACATAATCTTATACGCACAAAAGCTATCCAAATTCTAACCCAGGAGTGACCACATTTTTCTTAAAATCAAACCATTTCACGTGGTATGCCTCTAAAATAACATGTACCTATAAACGATCATAGAGAGATTAACAGTAATGCATTTATAGCTCACATAATCTTACGAATGAAACCAAAGATGTGTGAAAGATATGCATTTATTTTATACCAGGGACAAATGATTCGGTAAATAATATAAATTTTTTATTCGAGCACGTCGTTTGACTATGTGATCAAGACTAAGCTAGTGCAATACTTGGTAATTGATCCTATAAAGCGTCATATATGATACAAACTTCTTTATACGTATGTGAAATTACATTTTAATATTATCACCAGAGTAGCGGCGATTATACGAAATAAGTGTAATGCTAAATAAGTGAAAACTGTTGGTTCCTAGTTTTCAGAGATGGGCACACGACCGAACAAAAGCACACAGAGGTACCTGTTCGAAACAGATTACTGTGATCATTGGATTATCGTTTTTAACTCCTTCTTACATATTAACAATGTCCTGTTTTCTTTTTCGATACATAATCTTATACGCACAAAAGCTATCCAAATTCTAACCCAGGAGTGACCACATTTTTCTTAAAATCAAACCATTTCACGTGGTATGCCTCTAAAATAACATGTACCTATAAACGATCATAGAGAGATTAACAGTAATGCATTTATAGCTCACATAATCTTACGAATGAAACCAAAGATGTGTGAAAGATATGCATTTATTTTATACCAGGGACAAATGATTCGGTAAATAATATAAATTTTTTATTCGAGCACGTCGTTTGACTATGTGATCAAGACTAAGCTAGTGCAATACTTGGTAATTGATCCTATAAAGCGTCATATATGATACAAACTTCTTTATACGTATGTGAAATTACATTTTAATATTAATATACTTCTGGGATAGTAGCAATTTTTATAGTATTTCTCTCACACAGGCGTTTGGTTTATTATAATTTCAATAAGCCCCATTTTTGCTGCCCATCTAGCTTAAGCTCATTGACAATCGTTATGTAACAAGGAAACTATAACAGTTTTTCATATAGAATCAGACATCGAAACTTACGATTTGTGTAAGGACAATGCTTGGACGCCTTGTCCTTTTACAAATTAAAATTGTACATTTCTTTGGACTAGGAGACTTTATGATCTCTTTACTGTGAATATTGATAACTATATATATATTTTTTTTTTGTTGTAACTCACACGTTATGATTTATATATAATAATTAATATATGTCACGAATAAAGGTTGGATCATAGATCAATAAGCCATACATAATATATTTAACACTATCGTGTAAGGTCGATACGTTTATGAAAAAAATATGGAAGTGAATTTTATAACTTTAAAGGCTCAAATTACATATAAGATTGTCTATAACATATTCTTTGATGCATAGCTAATATAATTTTTTAAACGAACTTTATAAACTTTCTATGATCCTTCCTCGAAACGATAAATTGTTTAACTTATTTATTTTGTAAGTTTATTTACTTGCAATATATGCTATTCCTTTTCTACATAAAATTTATATATATTTTTATACAAATTACTCTTTGCTTTCTACGATGTAAACTTTCTGTAGCACTGCCAGAAAAGACGGACGCAAAGAGGAACTTTTGATTCCAGGTCGATCTGCTGGCAATATTCAATGTATTATTTATTTTCAATTAGCTTATACATATACGATATATATTCTATATTAATCTATAATTGAGTTGTTCAACCACCTTGTGAGAAAAGAAAATTATATATGGTGCCAGCAAGTTAATTAGGCACCTAAGAACGCGCTGACATAAGCTTATATAAGGAAAATACAAAAGTGGTCTCATATTCAAAATAACATGATTACGTGATACGTAAAGAATACAAATAATTGCGTGTGGTTTTTAGACGAACAAGTGGCTGATTGAAACATTATTAATGAAATGATAAAATATATATATAAATATATAATATATTGTACGTGCAGCTATTAAGGAAAACGTTAGATTAATATTGTGTGCAGCTGCAGAAGAACATCAAATTATTTTACATAGGTACGAAGATATAATGTTAAAATTATGGAAAGTATGTCGTTTACAGTCTGAACGTCCTTTGAAAAAAATGAAAATGGACACATAGAATTGAAATTTTATCGTGTAACTTGAATTTGATGTTTCCTTCTTTGTACAAAGATAAATATAATAGATAATTGATATACATTTAATACTTTTTGATCTAGTGTGAATCTCGAGGAAATACAATACATATTTATCTGATACAGTTTGTGAGATTTATTGAAACACGTCGAGGATAAGTCCAGAGAATGAGAATAATGTACTTAAAGCTTCATTTGTTTCCCCGAACGTTTTCTGTTATAGGATTTAAAAACACATACATGTTAGTTAAATGTAGATTTAAAAATAGAGTTAGTGTCAATGCTGTAGCATTAACTTTGAAGATATCTCGGCATATTACACAGTTATTCTGAAGGGTGACTTAAACAGACGGTCTGTTTTCTCTGGACTGCTCCTTCTATCGATACAATAAATCTTACAAACCATTAAAGTTATTTTAAGAAAGTGAAGACATCACACGAGATCTCTTTGATGTGGATCCCTCAGTTTTTCCTTCGCATCGAATAAAATAAGATGGAATATAAAATCAAATTGTAGAAGAAGATTGACGCGCGTTGCCGATTTTTATACAAATATTTTATCAATGTGTACATATATTTCAATTGTACAAAATTCAAAATGTGTATAACGCATCGTTCGGATACATCATACATCCCGTCAGCGTTGTAAGGTACTCGTGCAAAAGCAAAAGAAGAGGAAAGAACAGACGACGAATATCGTAGTTTAGAATACATTTGGTAAAAGATGTGATCTTGGTAAAAGAATTGCGTGATCTTGGCAAACATCGCTGATCGTTGACTTACACTTCTCCTTTCCACTGTTATCATGTATTTAAAAATGTCCTTTGAAGAACAAGATTTTAATTGAGAGAGCGAGATGCATGAGTGAGAGACATGTGAAATAAAAAAGCAAAAGAAGAAGATATGGTGCAAGTATTTTACTACAGTGACCTGGCAGATTCCGATATGAACATATTTTGCGACGAATAATAATAATACGAACGATTCTTCCTTAATGGAACGTTATGTGCAAGCTTCTTTTCTACGTCGACTTTTTTTGTAATTGAACTTTAAAAACGAGAGGGAGACCATGTAGTGGCTCGATGCGAAAAAATCTGTTTGACAAGAAAAAAGGGTTGTTTCAGGTGTACTTTTTTTCTCTACTTTCACGGCAATTATTTGGATCGAGTGATCTTAAGTGCTCTACAGGGATCGCGAACGCGATCATTTATATAACTGCATTTATTTACGTACAAATGTTCAAAGAACTCACGGCGCGAATTCTCAGTTTGAAGATTCTGAGTATTCTCCTGCGTTCGTATATTAACTTTTATGCGTTGCACGCCGGTGTTTGTCTCTGTCTACGTTTTGTTCCTCAATTCTGTTTTCTTTCTAATTAAATAAGTTCGAACCGCGGATAATTTATGTATTGTACGTTAAATCATTTTGATGCTCCAGAAAGATTGAGAGAGAAAGAGACATACAGACAGATTAGAAAAGAGATGACAATTTTTTGAGGTATCATGTAGACTGGATAAGACATGTAAATATATTACGTATGTTTTACATGAAGATTCATTCTCGCAACAACGTTTTAGATATGTGGTGATAGTAACGCTAATGTTGATAGTAACGATTCTCCCATCGTAATCGTACCGCAGCGAAGAACAAAAAAAGAAGGGAATAGAAACTTTTACATCAATTTACTAAAGATATAACGATTGTGAGACTGATCGACATATTTAGCAGATAATGTTTATTTACATACAACTATTAGAGCTAGGCAAGGATAATATAATAATATTGTACCATTCGTACATATATATATATATATATTATTAATGAAATTCTAATGATGATAATAATAATAAGACGAAACGACGACTGCCGCAACAAATATATCTCGTTATCACATTGATTATAATGTATCGTACGGAATATTTGTATATATATATATATATATATGTTACTTTTAGATTTTAACGCGCCTGATTCCAATCACTGTACAACAGTCGTGGAAATTTTCAAATCGATCATCCCTACCTGTTTTGTTTCTGTTTGGAAGAACAGTTTCAATGAATGGGACGATCGATATCCACGATGATCCGGGGAAGTAAAAAAAAAAAAAACGAAACGATGCCACTCTTTCGCTATGTAACGTTTTATAATAACTGATAGTAAGAACGATTTTACTTTTAATCAATTGATCGGTCACGGTGGTTGCGAAACGATAACGAGTTAATCCTTTTTGCAATGTAATTCAATTGAACATTTTCTGTTCCTGTTTTATTCGAATTCAGATTTTTGTAGAGAAATTTGTACATTGAATATACATACATATATGTAGGTTCTCTATGTACATTCTTTGTTTGTTTTATTTCATTTCTTCGTTGCAATGGAACGGAGTAAAAAATTCGACAAATCAACACCAATCGTGAATCAATGAATTTGTATGATATATTACATATATAGAGAAAGAAGAAACGAAAATATGTACATCTATTATATATATATAATATATATACGTTCGCGTAGGAAAGTCTGTGAGATACCAAATTTTGATAGACAAGTAACGTAAAACGTATGTTATATATGTATGTACGTAGGACATACTTAAAAGAGGATGTATCTTTGAAAGGTAACTCGTTTTGTTTTTCATTTATACAGATTTACAGGAGAAAAATCTATTATTCTTATTATTATTATTATTATTATTATTATTATTACTATTAATTATGTCTTTGCTATTCTGCTGTGATGATTAGTCAGTACGACTGTATTTAAATCGTCTATTGAAAGCAGGCTGATCGAGCGGCTGTAAAATCGAGAATTCGCTATTGCGGGGATTCTCAAAAATGGATCGAATCAGCGTAAATTAAAATACTTGTAAACATATTAGGAAAATCGTTTAAGATAACGAAGCATTTTGCACTTAAACGCCTTTACTGACTATTCGTGATCTTGAGATTACGCCGTATCTGTACTATCTGATCTTATAGGAAATTTTTTATATTAGACGTAAGATTACAGCGTTAAAATAATGTCTGACTGAAAAATTATAAGGGTCTTTGATGGCCTCGTACACATTAGGACGAATAGAATGATAAAAGTGCAATTAAAACGCTGTGTTGGAAATTATAATAAGAGATAAAAAAGAAAATGTAATAAGAGGAATATCGTGCGAAAGTGCAAAATGCTTCGTCGAGAAATATTATCATACTATGTACACATATTATCGCATATTAATAGCTTTTTGTAGAAAGATTCTTTGTATTTCATGTCTTACTTAATAAAACATAAGAACAAAAATTATTCAAATCTGTAATTTGGAATTTGAAAACTTAAAGTAAAATTCAATCGGGTAATCATTGGAATGACGTCGGATCAAAGTATCAGGAAGATTTGAGAGAAACCCTGCTCTACCGAATTAAGTTTTAAGAATATACATTTCTTTTTCTCTTTCTCTTATTTAAATATAATTGCGCAAACTGTCCTTCTATTTGTGGAATTGAAGGGAAGCAAATACCATTTTGTACAAAATGAGCGCAATAATATTGGTGTAAAAATCGCGGAATGGCCAAACTTTTTCTCACATAAAATAACTATAAGCAAATGCAATGAAATATCTTACATTACATTATACATACCAATAAGAAGTAAAGAAAACGCGTTACTATTATTATTTTTACGAGTGATTAAAGTGATCGAAACTTTTTATAACGTATACGTATATTTACACATCTACATATACATATGTACATGTATGAATAAGTATAATTGTACATGGAAGATTTTTACGTTACACTTTCAAGACCTGATGCATATACACACATTTTATGAAAAACTGCATTATGTATATTGCATATTGAATGAACATTTTTACCTATTACGCGGTGAGAACAAACCGTGTGAGAAGTATATACATATATTGTGTACTTATTCCAATTGTTAAAATATTGATTAAAATATTGTATACAAAATTCGTATAACTTTGCTTGGAATTATTGTGTTAGGTAAAATGTGCGAGTCATCATTTTGCATTGCATAGATTATACTTGTTTACTTTACGGATTCATGTTTGACTTTATCAGCGCTTAATTTATGTGGATCAAAAGATTTTCGTTATATTCTCGCTTGTAGTCTACTATTCGTGTGCTTCTTATGAATACTTTTAATAATACTCCATAAAAATTTAATATCAATTCGCTTCATTATTAGTGATGCAGTGAGTGTTTTACGTTTGTAATTATAAAATATAAAAGGTGATACATTGTTTTTAAGGTGTACATATAGAATTCTTATTTTCATTTAACATATAGCAAACGTCTCCAGGATGTGATAGTAGGTTTATATGTCTGCAGATTAAAGGATTCTTTTTAATAAGAAGAAAAAAGATTGTATTTAACGACTTTGATCAAGTCATTTCGAACACAATTTATCTTCTATATTTATCTTTTATTCTGTACTGTTGAAGCGTTTTCGTCACGGTGACGCTCTGTGATTGTGGCTCAATGAGAATAGTCGTTCTACAGTCGTTGAACGAGGTGCCCAAGCTCAGTTGTCATTCTGTAGATTAGCCTCACTATTTCTCAAAAAATTTTCATCTTGGGTCAAATCTACCAACGAATTTTGTTAGTAAGTCTCTCGAACGAAAATTCTTTTATATTTCGCGACATCGTAAAATTGCAACGACACAGTTTTCTCATAAAATTATATAGAGAAATGACTTTTAAAGTTTATATCGTACAAATACATTATATAAATGTTAACCTAAGCACGTATACATAAACGAGATCACAGTGTAACAAACAATTTTCTTTAAAGAGGTGTCATTCATTTTAACATGTCAAAATTTGAATGAGTTTCATTGTCTTATGGTGGCGCTGGAAATGTGTGGGAAAGATTCTCACACATACGTACGTACATTGCAAATTGCAATGTAAAATACATAGATGCAATACATACATAAACCTCGATCGATAAATAACAGTACCAGTAGTACGGGTAGTACTGTTCCGGATCTGAAATGAGAGTATATACTTTTCCGTGTTCTCAATGTACAGTGCACCGAAAGTGATCGGCCGTTAGCAATAAACAGACTTGATGCGTTTGTTTTTAGACAAGACTTAATAATGATGAAGTGCATCCGACTGCAATTAATAACGTTCGATGTCACCGGTACGTTGCTGAAGACGAAGTTGGAGCGATACATTGAAGTTGGCTCTGAACACGGTCTTTCGGTCGATCCGCGCAAATTGGCGCACAGCTTTAAAAACAGTTTCCACAAGCTCAGCCTGGAGCATCCAGTGTTCGGGAAGCATACGGGCATCGGATGGGAGAATTGGTGGAGAAAGATGGTTTATAACGTTTTTAAGGATCAACACAATTCTGTAGCGAACAGCACATTGGACAAGGTGATAAGTGTTAAATGTACATGGAGATTCTCGTTCAATGTTAAAATGAATAAATCGAATATCGTACATCTTATTTAGCCGTGTTCCACAGTCATTTCAATTAGATAGCAAATTTCTCGTTGCGCACTTTTTATTCCGTTAATAAGCTCTCACGTATACTAAATTATTTTTTATCTTCCAAGAATGATTAAATTTTTAAAGAAAAAAGGAAGGGACTCTGAATTAGTTCATTCAACCAAACTCGGAACGGTACTTACTATCAATGACCCCCGTTTATCGTTATGACCTATAGGTTGCTAACAGTTTGATAAGTTGCTACGGCACGAACATGTGCTGGTATAAGTATCCGGACACGATCGAGTTACTGGAGTATCTTCAAAAACAGAACATAATCTTGGGGGTGATATCGAATTTCGACCAGCGGTTGGAAGGGGTGCTCGAGGACACGAGGATACGACCTTACTTTTCCTTCGTTTTAACGTCTTACGATTTCGGCGCGGAGAAACCGGACACCTCGATATTCGACGAGGCGCTCAGACTGACAAGGGAACGACATTGCATCGACGTGACTCCCCAGGAAGCGCTCCACATCGGCGATACGTTCAGCAAAGATTACGTCGGCGCGAAGAACGCGAAATGGAACGCGATTCTAATTAAACGCGACGATCCCGACGTAAGCGACAAGAGAGTACCTAAGACCGATGTGTTTAAAAATCTTCGCGATTTGAAAGTATACCTTTCTACGCTTATAGACAGGGGTAGTATACAGGAAAGATGATTTCGCGAGACACGGTACCTATCATAACCAGGAAATACTTCCCACGTGATAGAACAATGTTTAGTATCATTGATAAGATTTATTTTTTGTGAGATTGTATATTATCCTTTATATTATGTATATTTTTATAAAATTCAAACTGCTATTTTGTGCATCATTAAATAATAAGATTATAATAACATGTGCACATATAATAACGTATTATAATAACGTTTATAAATGTGATAATAATTCCATTCACTATAGATAACATTGAAACTCAATAAATATGTGTTGATTATTATCACATATAATTTAAGCTATATCAGATGTAACAAATATAAAGCATCGAAAAAAAATTCTAACATGTAACACGTACTTATACAACTATATACAAGACTAATTCTTAAATAATTCTGTAGTTCCCAATTAATTTCATTCGAAATGCAGACGTATCGACCTATATATTTCTGAAGTGAGAAAAGTGAGAAAACAAATATTTTACGCGCTGTGCGACGGTACAGATAGTGTAATAGGAAGAAGCCGCGTTTCCTAATCTTGCTTCCGTTTTAGTTAGATACCAATTCTATACTCCCCACGAGCAGCAACATATGTAAGTACATAAAAAGTATAACTTCTAATTTCATTTTTACGAATCATTGAATCATCGATTCATTAAATCGTTTTATATAAAATGATTTACTGACAATAAGTTTTCCAAATTCTTATACGTTCAGTTAAAGCTAGAGCTTAATTAAATATATTAACGACAAATGCTTCTCTATCAGGATTGAATCTTTAGGATTCATCAATTCGTTATGATAATCTTATTGAAAAAGACTGTGATTGTATCTCAATTTAAAGAGATAGATTGTCAGGAAAATATTTTGTAAAAAGTGACTGCATATTTAAATTTCTAAACTTACTATTTCTTTCGGTAATCCTTTCCTCTCGGTCAGCACTTTCTACAGCGGCTAGCAGCGTGTTTGTGTTAAGCACCACTACCAAGGCGCATTCAACTTCCCACAGTCACAGCTTCACTCTCCTCTCATGACCACGACTGCGATTCCTCTCCTCCTCTCGTTCAGTTTCTCGGTGAGCCGTCGCGTGGAGAGAGGCTTTCTTCATGGTTTTCCATTCTTCCGTCGGTCGAAGAGGTTAGAATGAGGACTTATTTCTCCGTTTGAAAAATTCGCGACCATTTGTGCGCATTCCGTTCGATTGACAAAATAGTGAATAATTCGCGATCGGTTTGTGTCTCACATTCATACAATTTACTAACTGATGTCTCAGCCTTCTAACTGACCGTCTCTTTTGTAAATGATCATCTTTCTATTCGGTATTCTTCTCTTCTTACTTGTAATAACATAACGCGTTGTCAGCTCGCTATTTTAATAGTACGTTTTATTTAAATTTTTATTCGAATTGCGACTAGTGCGCTGATACGTGCGATCGATGGAACCGCACTATCTCCCAAGATTTTAAGTAGACGGTCAATAATGGATTTTTAAAAACTAATTGTTTCCAAAATATCTGAACGCTGCGTCTGAATTCTATATTTTCAAACAAATGCTATGCGAATCTTGTTTTAAATTAAATATCGTCACATTCTAACAGATCTATTATTAAAGTTTAATTTATATATTTGGTTTTCCTTTGGATTCTGTTGAAGTTTGAAAATCATTGAATACCGAGACACGATAAAAGCTGTTCTGAAAGTTAATATAATAATTAATAAACGTTAAGCAGATAAGAAGGCGACGACCGTTCGCGGAATGCGGTGTTGGCAGTGAAAAGTAAAAATTATTGTCGGGGATCTCCCGGTTGCCGATGGACCTGAGACCCGAGAGTCAGTGGTTACTTTAACAATCGAAGAAACATCCGAAAAAATCGCGAGTGGGTAGAAGTTGCGACGAAGGAGACTCTCCTAATAAAGTTGAAACATGACGCGAGGGAGGCATAAGAAAACTTTAGTGTTCATCGCAATTTGTCTGGTCTCAGTATTTGCGGAACCCGACCCCACGGAAGAACTTTACATTCGATTTTTAAAGAATCAGGACGAGGACAAGTGTTATGATGACAATGGGAGGCCCCAGGTACGTGTTATTTTTTTAACGTTACTTTTTCACTTTCAGAGGAAATACATTTACGAATTTACAATTAACGAAGTTTTTATCGAAAGCGTCAAGTTTTTATTCACCATTGAATTATTCGTGATAATAAATAATTTACCTTGCGCCATTCTCATTGTATAAAATTAATTTCTACATGGTTTTAGGTTTGTATAAATACTAGCACTGGTAGAATCCTGTTTATTCTTCCTCATAAGAATTTCGGTTTCTTAGGGCATTACTACATTAGGTTATCATTGTAAAGATTCGAAGTTACATCAACTTTCGACGATAACAACGTATGGAGAGATAAACCTAAGTGGATGCTCTAAACGTAAAATTATTTTGAAAACTTCTTTAAACAGAAGTTTCAAACTTGTCAATGAATCATCTTATTTTTCATTCTTTCGTTCTCCTCGTTTCTCGAGCTATTTATTTTACATTTTTCTGAGGAATCAAATTGTTTAAAAGCTTCAACTAAAATAGAATCCTTATAAATCCTTAATCGCCCATGTAATCGTTGGGACAGCGAATGGATAAGCTCAGAACACTCGATAACATTTATAGCTGACAACTTTTGTCTGAAATACTCCTTAACACAACAAACTTTTGACAAAAAATTTCGTTTTCCCTGAAATATTCCTAAGCTGTTGGACTTTGTGCTTGTATCGAGTACTATTTTGGAATGCGTGTATTGCAGAGGTGCATACCCCCTTTCGAGAACGCAGCGTTTCATGTGCACATGGAAGCTACGAACACGTGCGGTCAGGATCGGCCGACAGAATTTTGTAAACAGACTGGTGTCCAGAAGAAGTCCTGTGAGATATGTCGATACGGGGACCATCCGGCCTCGTTCCTTACCGATTACGATAATAACGATAACGCAACTTGGTGGCAATCGGAAACGATGTTCGAGGGGATCGAAACTAATCAAGTTAATCTCACATTATCCTTAGGTACGATCAAGTTAAACATACTACTTCCCACACCCGAGAGAACCACTCTTTTTTTAGAAATAATTAAGTATTAAGAAAAACTGAATTTTCCGCTGTTACATTTGTCAAACAGCGGAAGGGATAATTCACATTGCCACAGTATTGCATATGGTGTTGATCGCTCTAAATCGCGAAATTATTAATAGAGTAGATAAAATTACTAAATCTTACAGCATAGATATAGAAAGCGAGTTCATTCATCGTTATTCGCGATGAACTCTTAACGCGTCCTCAATGCTCGTCACCCTCTTTCTCCCACCTTCTGTGATCTTTTTTCTTCATTTTACTGTTCTTATCTATCAGGATGCGTGCGCGATGAGATAATTCTCGATGCGGCATACCGAGTAGTGAAAAGACGAGCGAGCTTTCAGTTTCTGACTTAATATTTTATTTTATGAATTCGTCGAATTAGTGGCGTTCCCCATTTCAAGAATAGAATTTCATCCAATAAATTTTTGAACCGACATAGCTTATTGTACAATCATGTATTATGGTGATTCTGATATTTACTTACAGTAAAATATAGAGAATCATGTCTTTATTAGTTAAACAACATAGAGAATAGGAATGTGCATATTTACAGTCTGATAGTTTACGTCAGCAATATTCAATCACTTCTTATCTCTATTATCCTAGAAACATTGCGGTTTCAGAACGTGTTAACAGCGTATACCGTTAACTTTCGCGCACTCAGCGTTAACCAGCTTTGCATATTACAAATAATCCATACCGCGAATGTATGTACATGTGTTATCAGCTAATGCACAATCGCATTGTGCGCGTGTAAACTAGTTTCGAGTTTAAACATGTGCCGGGAATCCGGATGGCAGCGGCGGCTTGTTAAAAATGTGAGGAACATAGAATCTCGGCCTGTGCGCCACATGTTCATTTACGAAAGAATCAGCCACTTGCACCCCGCTGACTTTACAGTGAAGTATCGCAAGGGCGTAGAATCCTATTATTTCTCGAAGGCCGAAAAATAAGTAAATTATTCGAGCTTAATTAAATTAAGTCTTTTTTTAAATAAATATAGACGATACAAAGAGTCGCCCGATCTTTATGAAAAAAAGACTATTTGCATGATGTTCAAAATTTATGATACAAAATGCAGACATATCTACATTATCGTTCTTTCGCATGTTACATTGCAGGAAAAACGTTCGATATAACTTACGTTAGAGTGCTGTTCGAGTCGCCACGGCCAGAAAGTTGGGCTATTTATAAACGAAAGAACGAGAAATCATCATGGGAACCTTATCAATTCTATTCGGCGACCTGTAGAGATACGTATGACTTGCCAGATATCAAGGAAACGGTACAAGGCGACGATACCAGAGTATTATGTACTTCCGATTTTTCCGATATATCACCGTTGACAAAGGGTACGGTCGCGTTTTCCACGCTAGAAGGCCGTCCGTCGGCCTACAAATTCGAATCGAATCCAGCCCTGCAGGTACACTCATTTTATCAATACATCATTCTAAACGAAAAGTTTAAGATCCTATACAGAATCATACATGAAACGAATGAGTAAATAAAGAAATAGGCAAAGTGGGCATGAAAATCATAACGATGTTCTGGTTTCAAGGAATGGGTACAAGCGATTGACTTGAGGATCACCCTAGATCGTTTGAACACGTTCGGCGACGAAGTGTTCGGCGATGATCATGTATTAAAATCCTACTACTATGCGATCGCTGACGTCGCGGTCGGCGCACGTTGTGCCTGCAACGGGCACGCTGGAGAATGTGTAAACAGTACCAGCGTAGATGGAAAAACTCGCAGAGTATGTAGGTAAGGTAATTTATAGGTATACTTACCCTTTAATGCACGACAACGGGTTAAATATGATTAAATACTTCTACTTACGCTTCGCTTCAGGACAACACACCGTATTTTATAATGTATAAGCTGAGACAGGACCAAGTCTATTATTTTCTTAATAAATAGTCACGTGTAACAAGGCGATTCTTTGAAATTCTGTACAGATGCGAGCATAACACGGCAGGTCCAGACTGCAACGAATGTCTACCTTTTTATAACGATGCACCTTGGGGACGTGCTACCACTACTGATGCGCACGAATGTAAACGTAAGTCATATACATTTTTTATAATTATTTGTTTTATAACATAATTAAAAATGGCAATAGAGCAGCGCGAGTGAATGTGATACGTTGGCCGCATTATCCACGCGCTCGCCTACTATTCCTACGCGTTTATTGTGAGTGTAGACTATGTATAGGCAAGGAGAGAATGCTTTGAAGGGTCGGTATCCTGGTTACCGTGTAGGTGGGCCTTGGCAAACCTGCTCTTCAAACGACCGTTTTTCACGTTTTATATCCGGTGACCAGATCGTGCGGTTTGCCATTATCATAAATCATATTTCTATTCAGCTGAGAATCTATATAATTCATAATCATAATATACCGGCCTCCGAAATGAGGTATTAGGTACTTTTGGAAAATAAAAAACGCGGATAACGGATTGATTAATAAGATTTTCATTGCTATGACTCATACAAATGATAGAACACTCCTCATTCTTACCGTACAGATTACGTATCTAATGGTTTATCAAAGACTCTCTTCCCTGTAAGGTGTTATTTATTACTACTCGTGAATGTGGAAAGTGTTTCGTATAAGAATAAAACATTTCTTCTTCGCATTGCCGGGTATCACCTTTCTGAGCAACCGAAGAGAGTCTGCCGTTCACGATAACGTTGGCATTACCTAACCAGCTTTACCTTTTACGTTCATTGCTCGTCCTAAAGTGGGGATCTGTTCGCGGTGTAGGGGCATACAATACAGCTTTTCTGCAGACCGTGAACTCAGTGCTCAAGATACTGCAATACACAGGGGAACATTTATTATATCGCGTTGATTAGCTCGCATATCTCCACGATTTCTTTTTTTATTTTAAGTAGGATAATCTTGATTTCATTTAGTGCGAGCGTACATTTACTATTAATGGAACGTTATCGTTGTATCGCGAATATTAATCGTCCATCGGTTTCATTAATTGATTTTTATCGAAGTAAAGGAGCAATCTAATTATTGTTGATAAGATCCGTGATTATCGGTCTTTAAGTACTTATTTTAATCTGCGGAATTCTAATAACTACGCTAATAGTTACACTAAATTGAACGTATTTTAAATTTATTTAGATGAAAAGATGATTGAGTGAGATGAGAGAAGCTTTACTTATCGAATGAATATTGAATTTTTGTGAAAAGTGATAAAAAGTATGAAATATATAATGAAGTGTTCGTTTCAAATGAGATCAATTGTTTATTTAATGTTGTCAAACGCGATAATTTGTACTACTTCATCGCGGTGGGACGGAATACTTCCTTGGTATTCAGGATCCAGTAAATATCTAGACGACATGCTATTACTTGTCTCCAAGAAAAATATTTATTTTAATTTTTACTGTATGCAATGATGTCCAGTCAGTTAGAAATATTGCCTTTGTCAATCTCCTGCTTGTAGCTTGTAATTGCAATGGATATTCGGAGAGATGCTATTTCGATAAGGAACTATATAAAGCCACCGGCCACGGAGGCCACTGTCTGGATTGTCAAGATAATCGCGATGGCGCGAATTGCGAACGCTGTCGAGAGAATTTCTACCAGCGTCCGGAGGACAAGTACTGCATCGCCTGTAACTGCAATGAAATCGGTAGAGATGCACTATAAAAAAAATTTTTTTCCACTCTCTGAAGTATTTCAATTCTGTTAAAAATTAAATATATTGCAGGTTCCAGGAGCTTGCAATGTAACAGCGAAGGAAAATGTCAATGCAAACCCGGTGTGACGGGCGATAAGTGCGACCTTTGCGCGGCTAATTATTTCAACTTCGGTTCGTACGGCTGCACTTCCTGCGAATGCAACGTAGCTGGATCTCTGGCTAATAAACCAAATTGTGATGCCGTCAGCGGTGTTTGTACTTGTAAAGAAAATGTGGAAGGAAAACGGTGTCGCGTGTTAGTATCTCACGTTTTGAACTCAATATGTAATATCGCATCGTAATGCATCAAAAATTATTTATCGCTATATACACACATTTATTAATACGTTGTTCATTTGATAAATAGATGTAAACCAGGATTTTTCAATCTCGCACTGAATAATAAATTCGGCTGCACACCGTGCTTCTGCTACGGACACTCCTCAGTCTGCAGACCAGCGACTGGCTACTCAAAAGTTGTGATCGAGAGCATGTTCGTAAGAGCAGCCGAACGATGGTCAGCTACCGTTGCCGGCAACCCGATTCCGCTTCAGTACGACCCTCTTACCCAAAGTATATCCGTCACGGCGTTGGATCGCGACAATGTCTATTTCGTTGCACCCGGTAATACGAATGCACGATGAAGTCTGCGTACCTTTATTGAACATTACGAGACGAACAATATTACATATAATTGCAGAGCGGTTCCTTGGCGATCAACGGTCGTCTTATAATCAGGACCTGTCATTTACACTTAGAATCGGGGAAGCTGGTCCTGCGCCCACTGTACGTGATATAATACTCGAGGGTGGAAATGGCGAGCAAATTACGCAACCGATTTTTGGGCAGAATAATCATTTACCTTCGGGGACGGTAAGAATTCACATGATTAATAATAATCATTTATATCTCAGTTATTAATAAACTGTCATTCAAATTTCAGCCGCACAAATATCGTTTCAAGCTTCATGAACATCCTAGCTACGGCTGGGAGCCACGACTCTCCTCCAGAGCTTTCATGTCTATCTTGTCGAACTTAACAGCTATTAAAATTCGTGGTACCTATACGCATCAAGGTATCTACTTAGTTCGAATATTAATTATCGCATTTATCTTAAGTAGGTTTTTCATATGTTTCGTCTCGTTTCAACAGGTCGGGGATTCTTAGACGACGTTAGATTGGAAACGGCTCACCGTGGGGCCGCGGGTGAGATTGCCGATTGGGTGGAGCATTGCCAGTGTCCTCATGGGTACGTTGGCCAATTTTGTGAATCGTGTGCTCCTGGATTCCATCACGATCCGCCGAACGGCGGGCCATTCTCCTATTGCGTTCCGTGTAACTGTAACGGTCACGCTGATATTTGCGAAGCCGAGACAGGTAAACCCATGCATAGAGTGTATTTATTATAGCGATAACGTTTAACACATTGTAGTCGGTTTATTTTGTAGGACAATGTATTTGCGAACACAACACGGCTGGTAGCAATTGTGAATTGTGTAGACGTGGGTATTATGGTCATCCATTGAAGGGTACGCCAGACGATTGTAAGCCGTGTCCCTGCCCTGATAATGGACCTTGCATATTACTTGGTAATAATCCAGATCCGATATGCTCTGAGTGTCCATCGGGTAGAACAGGTAAAAATCAATTTCAATTGATATAAATGTTATTTTCCAATTGATTATTTATGCTGTATATGGTTTCTCAGGGGCCAGGTGCGAGACATGTTCAGATGGATATTTCGGAAATCCTGAAAGAGGTATAGCTTGCAGACCTTGTGATTGTAACAACAATATTGATTTGAACGCAGTCCGGAATTGTAATCACGAGACTGGTGAATGTTTGAAGTGCGTGAACAATACTGCTGGTTTCCACTGCGAAGAATGCCTCCCAGGTACAGGAATAATAAGAATTACATAGTTTTCATCGACTTACATTATTCTGGGATATTAAAACGACTCATGTTTTGGGAACGCAATAGGCTATTATGGAGATGCTTTGTCCGATCTTAAAGAAGACGGCTGCAAACTGTGCCAGTGTTTCCACGCGGGCACGGTCGAACTCGAGGATGGCAGAGTGGCGCCTTGCGAACAATTAACGGGACACTGTTCGTGTAAGCCCCACGTAGTCGGTCGCAATTGTGACAAATGCGAGGAAGGATATTATCATATATTGAGTGGAGAGGTATTTTAAATACTTTTGCACAATAATGGTTTTTAAGCACGCATATAATATGTTTATGTACATTTTAGGGATGCGCGCCTTGTAACTGTGACCTGGAAGGATCTTACAATCGTACTTGCAATCCTGTCACTGGTCAGTGTGAATGTAGACCTGGCATTACCGGTCTACATTGCGATGCATGCGTTCCTTACCAGTACGGATTCAGCCGAGATGGTTGCAAGCCCTGCGATTGCGACTATATTGGTTCCCAAGATCTGCAATGTGATGCTAATGGACAGTGTCCAGTAAGGCTTATCTTACCAACTCCTTCCGAATAATTTATATTCGTATAATACGTTCTAATAATTAATTCTGTCTTGTAGTGTCTCCCAAATGTGGAAGGTAGACGTTGCGATCGTTGCAAAGAGAACAAACACAACAGGCAAAACGGATGCGTCGATTGTCCGGATTGTTACAATCTCGTCCAAGATGCCGCTAACAGGCATAGAGGACGTTTGACTGAATTAGAAAACACGCTTAAGAAGATTAATAGCAGCCCCACTGTCATAAAAGATGCGGACTTTGAGAAGGAACTGAAAAACGTACAGGACAGAGTGAAGAATCTCCAGGAAATCGCGAAACAAGGATCTGGCAGTAAGTAGAATTTGTCGATTGCCATTTTATTCAAGTGATTGCGAACTAGAATAATTTGAATAAATGATACCTTAGGTGAGAACAAAACCTTGGTGGAACAACTTGATGAATTGCGCGACCAGTTGAACGAAATTGGTGACATTTCGCAAACCGTGAACCTGACAGCTTTGGACGCGTACAAAACAACTTCCGAAGGGCAGATAAACATCGACGAAGCGGAAAAGGTGCTCGATAAAATACACGCTCAATTGACCGACGCCGAGGATTATTTAGCCACGGCTGGATCAACTGCTCTGTCCGAAGCGAAAATGCGGGCGGAACAAGTTGGTCAACAGAACAAACAGATGACTACGATCGCTCAAGAAGCGCGTGTATTAGCGGAGTTGAATGTGAACGAAGCGAAGAAGATTCACGATCTGGCAGAAAAAGCGCGAAACACAACGATAGAAGCTTATACTCTAGCGAAGAAAGCTATAGCGAAATGCTCAAACGTGACCGACGATATCAGAGGATTGGAAAATAAATTGGAGTTGCTGGAACATCGTATGAACGAGGTAAAAAATCTCACCAGCATAGCGGCCACTAAATCATCGGCTGTTTCGCAAGAGGCGATAGACCTGTTGATTCTCGACTTAACGCTGCCGGCGGTGGACATCGACCAGTTACAAAAACAAGTTGACGACGTGAACAATGAAGGATTACGGTTGAAAGAACAGGCGCAATTATTGCTGGACGAAAGCGAGGATCTTATAAATGAGATGGTAGAAAAGGTCAAGAGGAGCGAAGAGTTGATAGAGCGAGCAAAAGAACAACAGGCAGCCACTGCCGAACTTATCGCCGAATTAGATCGCGCGAAAGAGATAGCGGATGACGCTGTTAAACGAGGCGATCAAACGTTAAAAGAGGCACAAGAGACACTGAAGAAGTTAGGTGGTATGTATTCCAATTAGAGAAATGATCACAATTAATCTTCAAAACGATTGGGAAATATCGCTATAAATATTGCTTTCAGAATTTCACGCCGAGGTAGAACGTGAACGTGTTAAAGCCCAGGATGCTTTGAAAGACATAAGAGACATCGAAGCGTTAATCGCGAGTGCAGAAGAACAAACTCTGCGAGCAGGAGAAATATTACTCGATTCCGAGGATAATGCCGAATACGCTCGTAAAAGAGCGCAGGATGCTCAGGTAAGTTAAATGACCAGTCTACTACAGTATAATAGTTTTTCACTTATTAAATGCGAAATGTTGTAGACTTACGCGGAAGAGGCTAGCGCGAAAGCAAACGCGATTAGAACCGAGGCGAATAAAACTAAAATAGAAGCGCTTCGTGTAGGAAACGAAGCGGAGAAATTAAGTCTACGAGTCGACAATACGGAATCGATGATGCAACAATATGAAATTCAAAGTGGTCACGATACAAATATTACGACAGAAGTGAGATACGAATTACTTTAACAATATATGTATACTTCAATAATTAATTTGCTTTGTCACTTATCACTACAATTTATTTAGGCGAATCATAAAGTCGGACAAGCTAAGATCAATGTAACGTTGGCATCGCAGCAAGTCGATAAAGCATTATCCGAAGTAGCTGAGATAATAAAAGAACTTGAAAACCTGTCCGAAATAGGTAAGCTACCTTTTTGAACTGGACATGTATAACTCATTTATTTCATAGAAATTTCAATACATGAAACTTGAACGTGAATCTTCAGATGATACCGATTTGAATCGACTGGAAGAACGTTTAACTGCCGCTGAGAACGAGATCGCAGCTGCTAATCTGGATCAAAGGATTCGTGCATTAACGGACGCCAAGAACTTGCAGACACAGTGGGTAAACAATTATAAGGACGAGGTCAGTAGATTGAAAATGGAAGTTGAGAACATCGACGATATAAGAAGAGTGTTGCCTGTCGATTGTCACAATCGTGTACGACTCGAGCCTTAAAGTATGATAGGATACATACGTAAAAAGTGCGGTTGGTCCAGTTTTCATATCATTAGTGGTGCCTTACATGCACTAGAGAAAGAAACACGGAATTCTTTAGAGATTTAAAAAAGAAACACATACGTTCACAAATGTTCATCATGAAAGATCGTATGTTCTTTTAAAACAATTATATCGTGTGCCATCGAGAAGACAATTTCGATCATAAAATTACGATGAAATGAAGTAGAATATAACTACATTAGGCAATCGTCGAATGAACGTAATGATATTAATCACGTATTTACATTTAAATCGTCCAAAACGTGATCTTCCATTATTCTTCAAGTATAACACTACGTACGAGCGACTGCAACAACGATTATATACCAAAGATTTTATGTAGACAGATACTTCCTTTTTACTACCACTATTGAAGCATTTGCATAATGCAATTTGACTTAACATTCTTATTAACGCAATTAATTTGTACTTATATGTATGTACAAACATGTATATATATTATCTATATACATACATCCGTTTTATTGTAATTTTCATACTTCCTTTTAAATTTTAAAGAAGTTTCAAAAGTTCCTCCAAACGAGAAACAATTTTTTACATGAAATCTTATGAAACGTTTTAACAACAAGGAAACATTTCTGAAAATGGAAAGGAGAACAAAAATCTAAATATATATTTTTACAATATGTATTACACAATGACATATATGTATAACGTTGCATTTTTATAGAATAAAAAAATGAACAATCTTCGAATATGTAAGCAATGTATTAGTATGTATACACAGTAAAGAGAGTATAAAAAATTAATAAAAATAGAATAAAATGGAATTTCGGTACAAAAACATTTATCTGTTTTTTTTAAACGATCAAGCATCGAAACGGAAAGGAACGCCTGGTTGAAATGTTAATTACACTTGAGGGAAGGAATTGATAGAAACCCTATCAAAAATGTAATAACTGCAAGTATTTATTATAATGGATCATAGAATAATATCGCTATTGATAATTTATTATTAATAAAACAGGATTTATATAACACATTCGACTAAATGCTATGAAGAAGAACCAATAAACTCTTAGGGAAGCTAGGAGAAATGAAATGACTTATTTAATTATAAATAAAATTATTAATAACACCAATATAGCGGTCAACACTCCAATGGCTACCCATTGTCTCCGATCTAAAACAAACGGAAAGTAACATCACATGCGTCACTTATAAAAAAATTCATCAAGAATTCAACAGATATTTTACCGCCGTTTAATAAACGACGGTAAAATGAAACGAGTGACATATTTTGGGTATCGTATAAGAAAAAGTAATACTTATGTATTTGGCCCTTCTTCAAATAGATAAACACAATGTACAATTAGTTTCAACATGCACTCTTCAACAAGCATTTTATAACAACACTAAAGATTTTCTGTTATTGATACTCTGCACTCATATTTTAAAATATTAGCAAGTTAAAAAGAACGCATTCACTTCTTTAAGTGTAATATAACAAAGAATTCTTTAAAAGCATCAATAATATTTATAAAAATATGGAGTGCAAGGAATCAATATGTTAACTAACTCAGTATCTTTTTTCAAAATCACGTTTTAAGTTGAAGTGATTCATAAATAACAAGCAATAGTTGTAACATTCACTGTATTATAGAAGCTCCGAAACGATAATTTTTATATGTATTCATTTCCTTTTAGTTGCACAAACACGTATATAAAAATTATGTTCGCATAAACATATACACATACATATATAAAAGCAAAAATTAGGAAAGAATGATATAAAACACACATTCATAAACATATTGGAGTAATAGAAAAAAAGATTATATTCCATGGTTGAGAGATTGAGTTTCTAATTTCTATGTAGACGAGAAAACAAGGACTCCGTAGTAAAAAGCAAACTGTTGAGAATTGGTATTAATCAAAGAAAGTTTAATTGTCTTCTCTCAAACACAGAATTTAATATGTAACGATTTCTTACATAATATAATCTAATCGTTTGGACACACATAATATAATCGTTTGAATAATTTGAATGGGTCAGGAGCTCGTGTACTTTAGTAGTAACATGTACAGTATAAATAAAATCGTAGATTTTATTCATGGAACGCCTGGTTGAAATGTTAATTACACTTGAGGGAAGGAATTGATAGAAACCCTATCAAAAATGTAATAACTGCAAGTATTTATTATAATGGATCATAGAATAATATCGCTATTGATAATTTATTATTAATAAAACAGGATTTATATAACACATTCGACTAAATGCTATGAAGAAGAACCAATAAACTCTTAGGGAAGCTAGGAGAAATGAAATGACTTATTTAATTATAAATAAAATTATTAATAACACCAATATAGCGGTCAACACTCCAATGGCTACCCATTGTCTCCGATCTAAAACAAACGGAAAGTAACATCACATGCGTCACTTATAAAAAAATTCATCAAGAATTCAACAGATATTTTACCGCCGTTTAATAAACGACGGTAAAATGAAACGAGTGACATATTTTGGGTATCGTATAAGAAAAAGTAATACTTATGTATTTGGCCCTTCTTCAAATAGATAAACACAATGTACAATTAGTTTCAACATGCACTCTTCAACAAGCATTTTATAACAACACTAAAGATTTTCTGTTATTGATACTCTGCACTCATATTTTAAAATATTAGCAAGTTAAAAAGAACGCATTCACTTCTTTAAGTGTAATATAACAAAGAATTCTTTAAAAGCATCAATAATATTTATAAAAATATGGAGTGCAAGGAATCAATATGTTAACTAACTCAGTATCTTTTTTCAAAATCACGTTTTAAGTTGAAGTGATTCATAAATAACAAGCAATAGTTGTAACATTCACTGTATTATAGAAGCTCCGAAACGATAATTTTTATATGTATTCATTTCCTTTTAGTTGCACAAACACGTATATAAAAATTATGTTCGCATAAACATATACACATACATATATAAAAGCAAAAATTAGGAAAGAATGATATAAAACACACATTCATAAACATATTGGAGTAATAGAAAAAAAGATTATATTCCATGGTTGAGAGATTGAGTTTCTAATTTCTATGTAGACGAGAAAACAAGGACTCCGTAGTAAAAAGCAAACTGTTGAGAATTGGTATTAATCAAAGAAAGTTTAATTGTCTTCTCTCAAACACAGAATTTAATATGTAACGATTTCTTACATAATATAATCTAATCGTTTGGACACACATAATATAATCGTTTGAATAATTTGAATGGGTCAGGAGCTCGTGTACTTTAGTAGTAACATGTACAGTATAAATAAAATCGTAGATTTTATTCATCAGTATGTCTTCACAATTGGTCATTTATGAGAAATAATAAATTATATATTTTTTCCTTTCATTTCTTTTAAATACATATGAGTATAAACAATTTCTGTTTTGTGTATGAATTCACAATATCATATTTTGTAACACTCTATTAACAGTGGAGTAAATGTTTTAAAATCTAATTTTCAATACTTTTTAGTACGTTTCATCTTTCTAAAATCGAGTTTGGAACTGTCTACAGTTTTCTGAACAACGTTATTCGCATTAAGAAACAATCAATCAGCAACACCACCATACGTACAAATAATTATTTCTGCTTTTGTCACATTTTCTTTCTTTTTTTTCTTATTATTCCTCGTTCCTTCAAATCGTATGTTTCCATTTACATCCATTGCACACTTAAACTGACTGGTACTTTCGCAATATTTATGTTACTTCACAATACTGTGTACTAAACTATGTTTTTCTACTTCGACCAATATACTAATATCACATGTTGTATACATTTGGAAGTAGAAGTATCAGAGATTTTAAAACATACTGAAAGTATTTCTCTAATATTATTTATACATATATATATGTACTTGTCTATAACTCTATTATATTAAAATTTCTTCAGGCACAAATTACTTGTGCTAAATAGTTATTTCTATTCTGACACTTGCAGTATTTGGCATAAATAGTATTTGGCATTCTTTTGAGATTCCTGTGTATTGAGGTACTTATATACACAATTCAATTTAATCCCTCCATAAATTTTAAATATACAATAATTCAACGATATTGCTATTTAATTTCATACAACGCTTTAGTGCCTATTGAACTACGTAAAACATTATTACATTTCATTTAATTAAATACAATTCAGAAGCTAATCATTTCTTTGTAACTGCGACTGGTCCATTTTTATACTACATCTTTGGCATTTATTCGAATTGAATATACGTGGCTCCTTAATTCTTCCAAGTCATAAATTTTTTAATTATTCAATAGCTCTAAATGAGTTCGTTATAATATCAAGAAAGAATAAAAGAATATATAAGAATATGTACCAAGATACAATTTCTGACTTTTTATATTCATATAAGAGAATAAAGAAGATGGCATAAAATTTTTAATACTTGGATAATGACTACTGCTAATGTGTATGCATCTCTTTTGTTTTATGTCTCTTACTACGACTAACATTTTATCCGAAACATTTCTCGGTTAAAACAAAACACGAAGTATTTAATATGCCTTGCTGACACGAAACTTTGATACTTCTTTTTCCCAATAATCATATAAATTCCTTTTTTAAATCAATTTTTAGGTAATTACTTATCAGTATAATACTACACATATACCTAGTAATAAAACGAAATAAATAGAAAACGAGTGCAACAGTGCTGAATATCAGTTGAAATTAGTTTAAAAAGTGTATAAGAAACGAATTTTGTCATGGGTGATTATGATATGCAATGTTATTGTAGAGACAGAATGAATTATCAGATTCACGAGGAAGTTCTATAATTTTTCAGTAGACATGTTAACTTTGGATTATATAGAAATCAAGCGTCAGTAGTGAAGCCAAATTAACTTGTAAAATGAACTGTAGATAGAGGCAAACAGTTAAAGAAGGAGTACTGAATAATTATAGTGGAATTGTATGATAATGATACCTATTCACTCCCCAGAACACAAGAAACAATTAGTTATCACATTTGAAAAGACTGATAGAGAAGAAGGTTGAGAGGCAAGATTAGAAACACTAGATGTTGCACTAGTAGGAGCAGGAATGTAATTATTATAGTTACCATTACTCATATGAAGGACTTTGGCCATTTTTTTCATTGTTGCATCCAATTTAGAATCCGTCACCTCCAACTCATTACCAAATTCATCGAGCATACTGAAACAGATAGAAATATATATGAACATACTTCACTCGGATAATCTCCACTTATCGACGCAATGAAAAACAAGATTAAGAACGAAACTTACACTGCTTGCTCATCTAGTTCATTATTAATTTGTCTTGACACTGTTTTAAGTGTGCCGATACTTTCTCCCATCATGTCTAATTGTTCATCCTGCTGTCTCATCATGTCATTTTGCTGTTGCAACGTATCACTTAAAAACTGCCTGTTAGGGCTGTCAATTTCATTTTCCAGTTTACTGTACTTTGTTGTACCATGATTGACAGGAACTCTTGCAGGACTATTGTCCAAAAGAGGCTGGAAAAAATAGAAATCTATGTAAACATTCAAATATTTAAGTAGAAAATTCAAAGACAGTATAATAGTGGTTTATTTAATTATACATTAAAGAATAATTCAATAAATATTGATCTACCATGTAAACCATTTCGTTTCTAATGCGATGATCACTATTTTATTCACGAGTCCATTAAAAATATTATAATTTAACTACATCGACTTGACTAGACGTACACTACAGCTGATTTACGTTACTCTGACAGTTCGATGTAGTAGATGTCGCAACGTAAAAGAATTATTAATTTGCGGGAGAAATTTAAAATCTTCGAAAAATATTTACGTAAGCTTCTAAATTTCATTCATACATAATAAAAATGACTGCAGTAAATATCATTAAAAAATACGATATGCGAGGAAGATAAAGAATATATCGTGTTTATAGTAGATTATTACACTTACTTGTCTTGCCGTGTTATCACGATCCCGACCCCTGCTTAAGTTCATTTTGTCCTTCATGATCTGAAAAAAATAAATAAAATATCACTTTGCATATTTTTACTAAACATTTCGTAACTGAGTACTAAACTACCGATTAACATTTATTGTTAATAAAATACCTTAACTTCTTCTCGCGTTTGTTCGATAAAGCTTCGTTGGACCGTTAACTCTTTGTTATCTATCTTAAACTTCGTCGGATTTTTTTCCAAAATACGTATATACATATTCATACGTAAAGCGCTAAGGATAACGTAGAATATAAATTTGAAAATGGGAGAAAAACCGAATGATCACAAGTCGTAATTAAAAAATATTTCGAAGAAGCATCGGTTTATTAAAAAATTAAAATTGTATCGCGTATAACGTATGTGTGGATGTATTAAAGGATATGGATCGTGTCCTCTAGATCATCGAGATCCCACTCGATCGAGCGTAAGGCTTTCCGCAATTCGGTAGTAGTCCACTCTAATTCATCGCGTGAAATTGGAATTCCCCCATTGACATTAGTCGGGCTCGTAACAACAACATCTTGCAATTCGGTCCAGCGCCCATATAAACCACGATTTTTATTTAAGGCCTTACAAACTTCGCTAGGAGACAGAAATATGTAATGCGTATATTGCACAAGAAGTAAGATTCAATAGATTCATAAAAATAAATTGATTTCGTGTATATTGATATATTATAATGTATATAGTTAAAGAAAACGCGAATCGCTGCATGTATCAACAATTATTCCACCACGATAATTTGTTCAGTTTAGTAAAGTACTAAAACAGAACTGGAGGGGGAGAAAAATAACGACTATAAGATATATAAAATTTTGCACAATTTTCAGACTGATATTAAAATACGTAAACATGAAAACAAAAATATGTAAATCTAATCTAAAGCATGTGCAAGAAATTGTATTGATAGATACCAAACGTATGTTAAATTGAATAAACAAAACAATTATATGTGAAAAAAATGAGATTAGATCTGTAGTGTTCACGCGTATGTCAAGATAAGATACGTAATAATTAACATAAGTTATCTTAAAAAACGTGTCCATGAATGTCGTTAAGGGATTCCTTTGTAATGAATCTTTACTTCGCGACTATTCTTAAAGGTCCGATCTATGCGTATATATGCGATGCATTTTGGTGTCACGCAAAAAGGGAAAGAGAAAAAGTTTAAACATTGACAACCACAATAGCTTTACAACGAGGCCTGCCATATCATCATTTATAATTCTATTTTCAGTCAAAAAATTCGTAACACCGCGAAAGGTTTACTTACTCCTTGACGACAAAGAACGGATTCGCCAGCGTCATTCCTTCTTTTTAATTTAAAGAGGTGGCCTTTCTCGCCGCCTCACGGCACCCACAGGAATACGTGTGCGCGATTTGTCGATCATCGGTGGAAATTCCAAACGATCTTGACAAATATCAGTAGACACTCTCGGGAACGATGACAATAATCAAATTGACACTTGCTTGCACCCCACTGTCTGTTATGCTGCGTACCACGACCAGTCGTGGTATATTGTGACGTCTACTTTCGGTCCTCCTGCAGACGACTATTTATTCGATTTTAACGTTCGTGCGCAAACACGCCTCTCTGAAAACGACCAGCCACTGTAATATTGATTTCACGTTGGAACGCTTAAAGCGAAGCTCACAGTGGCACGTCACCCGAAACGACTCGATGTAACAGTCAGACATAAATAATAATTTCAGAAATTAATGCACGATCATCGATGCACACATTTTTGTAAGCGTATGCGATGTCACTGTTTTCATTAAATTATTGCTATTGTAATTGTAATTTGTAGAAAGAAATTTCACGATAGTACTTGCCCATCTACATATGCGCAGACTTGCGTAGTTGAGTGAAAATTGCGCGCCAATATCTTGAGGATGTCCATTACAAATTATGAAGTGAGGTATTGTCGAGTTACGGTATTTAGACTTGCTTCAATTTCATTTATAATCTAATAGTTACACGTAGTTAATTAAGTGGTACGTTACATTAGTATGGATCATTTTTGTGATGAATTGAAATGAAAGCTCTAAAGTAAAAGTAGCACTGATTTGAGAAACAAACGGGAATGTATAAATTTTCAGTATCAATTCACAGATTTGTTTAGCAGTAATATCTATGCGAAATATTTAAAAAAGACTATTCTGTTCCAATATGTCATTCTTTTCGTATACATATATATATATAGATGAGTACGCCGGTGTGGCGTGTTACCACGTGTTACGTTATTTTGCGGCAATCTTTTAAAAGCGGTACGCGTGAAAGAACGTTTCCTACACTTGTGACGTTGTTGTGTTGAGTGTTGATTTTTTTATTTTGTGGAGACATACGTACTGGACTGGTTGAAAGCTACAAAGCGGTAATATTGGAACATCAGAAACAAGTGAGTACTCAGATATAATGTGTATTTCTTTAAATAAGTTTCTATTCGAAATTTATAACCTGTATGTGCATACGTACAAGGAATTGGTACTTGGAACAAAATTTATTTTATTATTCATATCTTTACATTTTGTGAACATAAGATTAGATTATTAAAATATATCTGTGTAGTTTGTACATCTTTATTGACATAAAACTTGCAGTTATATGCAAATATTCGCTGAAGATGCCCTATAAATATGTACTAGAAAATTAAATCTTTACAAAGCTATTGCCAGTATTTAAGTAGTGTCTTTTGAAGATTACATTCGTACGCTCTATCCAACTTAAATGCTTGTATATTACATATTTACTTGTCATCGTGAAATTTCTTATACATAAATAGAACTACACTTAATACGTTTCATGTAGCTATAGCTTTAAACAAGTACAACATTCTTACAGGTATCACATTTCTGAACATATATTTAAGAATCAAATAGTTCATAATATGAATATATAAATATATATGTACATACATATATATTCGTACAGTTTCTCTGATAATTTCTTCACCAAGCCAGCATATAATTTAACATGATTAGACACTTCCAGTATACATAATATGTGTAAGCGTGCCTGTAAAGAACATGTTAGGCATTAGATATATCTCTGGATTAATATGGTATAATACCTGTTACAAAATAAACTTTGTTTATAATCGAAGACATGAATCAATCCAATTTCGATAGATACGAGTAATCAACATAGTCCCTCTTCAAAATCATCATCTTCGTCTTTCTCTTCTTTCTTTGAAGATGTTGCTTCCACCCCATCTTTCTCTACTGTTTCCTCAGATGCCATTTTACTGGGTCCTTCAGATTCATTAACTCGCAAATTCTAAAAAATAAGGTGATCCCCAATTAACAAAGATCGTAGTTTCTTAATAATCAGTTACATCCTTAAAATGCACAATTACGACGATCGAATAAAAAAAACACTGATTGCTCACTTCAATTCCGCTTTTAGTTTCTTCCATTAACTTTGACGCATTGGGGGACGAATATGATTCTGCTGCATTTGCTGTAACTCCAGCTGGTTGCACTGCATATTCCTGTTGTGGTAGAGGTAAGCCTCTGGCCAATTTAGCATACTCAACGTCCATATGCTTAATGAAAGGGCTATTCAATGCTGCTCTCGCAGCATCTGCATCTTCATTGTCATATGCTTGCAACAACATTTCTAACGTATTGATCTGAAATTAAATGAATGAATGATAGAAGGCAATTAGGATATTTTCGATTTCTCAAAGTCGCACCTCAGGAGCTTCACAATAATTCCCCCATTCTTTGAATGCTTTCTCAGCTGCCACTTGATCACCTCGAGCTAATTGCACTAACACTAATGCCACTGTCAATCTCCCAATCGAAGGCCCATGATCTATCTGCTGATGCATTCCAATTTCTTTACGAATAGCGTTCGCTGCTTCATCATACATTTGCAGTTTAACCAGTAATCTTGCCACTTTGCTCATATATTCCGCTGCATGACGCGGGCTATCCTCGCCCTTTATTAAAAAATATTATACAATTTTAATTATATTACTAATAATTAAAAAAGTAAATTGTAATGTGTATTGTACCATAACAACGTTAGCAGCGTGTGAAAACAAATCTAATGCTTCTTTTGGTTCAGTAGCTTCTAACATTTTCCCTGCTTTGTCGAGCACGTTCGCTCCTGATTCAGGCGAACCGTGCATCTGATATAAATTGCAGGCACGATTTGCTAATTTTGGTACATCCGTAAGATTTCCCATCTCTTTGCAAATAAGTACAGCCTGTTCTATACATCTGAAAATTGCATACATTGTAATCGACGATGATGTGTAATGTTAATTAGATATAATATGATGAAACGTCTAAAGGACTTACTTTGCAGCATGGAACCATCTTTTATATTGAAGTTAAAGAACAATTTGTGAAAAGTGTGAAAGATAGTACTGACCTAATGTGCTAGATTAATTTGAAAAAAGGATACGATTTGTTTTCTTTATGACAATCAGCAGCTTTCATTAAACATTCTTTGCATTGTTTATAAGACTTTGCTATTCTAAAGCAAGTTGCTGAAAGAGATTCATAGTTAGTTAATTGTACGGAGTCGTTCTGTCTACTACTTGTTTGTATATATTTTACCTGCGGTCGAGTATTCCTCGGCAGCAACTTCGAAATCGGGTCTCCATTTTAATAGCGATGTTTTTAAGCTATAACAGAGATTTGTCATATTTCACAAAACGGATCGATAGAACGAAATTATTTTTACACCGCGGGACAATGAGCCGTATCGATTTCATATAAAAAGATTGACGAAAATTAGACTGATTGTTGACAGAATCTCGCGATTTATCATTACGCGTTGACAATACGTATACCTTTTTTCGGCCTGTCGTATATGAGCGTTCCCTTCTTCGATTTTTGACATTTTTCTCCGAATGGTGCCTCGCGTTGATTTACGTTAACTCCGGTAATTGTAACAATGGAACTGTCCGTCTCGGAGGTTTCACTTCTCTATCGCACGGCTCTTGTCAAAATCACTGTGCAGACGACGCAAGTTCTGCGTACCGTTCGAACTAAATACATAAACGTTGTCAAGCCACTTTGTCAGTGTATGCATGCGCCAATACGAAAAAGTGAGACCGTCGTCGTATGCGGCTGAGTCAGTTCGTCGAATCTAAACCATACCCATATCGTTCCCTTGTCATTGTCTACTTTATCAGCGGTATGCTCAATATCAATAAGTTTATGGAATAACCTTACAATCATTTGAAACAATTGTTTATGATCATCTTCTATTAATCTGATTTTATACTTAACAATCACAAGGTCTTTATTGGAAAGAAACATGTATGCAATGAGTATAACTAAATATAATATTTAAGAAACGAATAGGTATAATTGATGAAAGAATAATGGTATGCAGCTTTTTTATTACTTTATTATAAAAAAATGTGAATTATAAAAGTCTGCACCTTGCTCATATGGTGTCATTGTGCCGATTGTGTTTTGTGGAGTGATGGTGGGGTAAGATGCATTCACTTTAACGTTTGTGGTACGTGCTGTGCTGCGTGCGTAACTGCACATTGGCGGGAAATAAGAAGAAACTGTGTTAAAAATCGTATTACTTTTGGTTTGATATAATTCTGATTCGACTCAATTTACTGACGACCCCAGCTTTTTTAACCGATCAGGTAATTGCATTTGTAATTTATCTTTTATGTTATTCGACCACAGAATTCGTGCACATTGCGTCTTAACCTTAGAGCATGATGCAGTTCGTAGTAAACAGTTAATTGTTTCTCCTGTTTTTACCTGTTTTCCTGTTAACTGTTCATCCTCCATTCATCGTATATAATAAACAATATATTATCTTTCTTAAAGTAAATAAATAAAATCAGATGGCGGAGAAACTCGAAGACCTCAACTTGCCAAATGCGGTTGTAACGAGGATTATAAAAGAAGCATTACCAGAAGGAGTCACAGTTGCCAAAGATGCCAGAATCGCAGTAGCTAAAGCATCTTCGATCTTTATACTATATTTAACATCGTCAGCAAATATAATTGCTAAAAGAGGGAACCGTAAAATAATAAGTGGACAAGATGTTATACGAGCAATGACAGATATAGAGTTTGATCAATTCATTGATCCATTGCAAGAATCGTTAAAAAATTTCCAAAGAGCTCAGAAAGAAAAGAAAAGTGCTGCGCCTAAAAATAAGAAATAACAGAAGACAAATGGAGATGAAGGGCTCGAAGCTATTTTTTATATACATTACATGTAAGAACTATCATACTATAAACTATCATTTACAAAAGCTTGCTTACTACCTGTGGTGTTGGTTGCATTATTAACTCTTAACCACTGCAATTAAAATGTGAGTCTCACGCTATCTATAAGGGTATCACTATATTTACAGATATGTCTGATCGTTTTATATAAAAATTCATATTTGTAGTCAAGTGTTAACAAATACAATTCTATTTGTTTTATTTTTAAATATTCAGTTTTTCCTTTGCATAGTAAATAGTAATAAAAAAGATAATTCAAACCTATTTTATCTATGATTATTACTTATTTTATCTTTATAAAATATTATTGTTATGGCACTGAAAAGTAACGTTGAAAGTAAACAAACTTCTCTCTAATGGAAATCTATTCAGTCCAAAGAAATTGTTCAATAAAACAGCAGAAGATCAGGGATTAAAAGAGTAACATTTAGAATCCAAGAATTTTGTAATGAAACAAAATTTCATTGGATGGAATACTCGTCTTGTAAACGGGAGCTTCGAAAACATATATGTTGCATAAAAATCTCTGAATGAAAAACTCACTGTAACACTAAAAACGATAGACTATTAAAGACTTAATTATTAATCTAAATGGAATTGTTTGTTAAAAAATCATCGGTTACATTTCACGGTTTAATAACGCGAATCTTTTCATGTATCGCACTTCTACACATTGGACAGTCCGTGGAAACCATACTTGCACAACCTGAACAGCAACAGAGGTGTCCACATGGTAGAAAAATTACTTCGCACTGTAACAAATAAACAATTATAATATCGTATTATCGATTTTATGACAGAAATGTTTAACGTGAATAATGTAGGTTCTGCTCACTTGTAAATCAAGGCAAATTACGCATTCGGCAGTATTGATGCTCTGAGTCGTGTTGTATTCTTCGTAGTTAGCACTTGTACAGGCTTCTTCGGGTGGTGCAGAAGGTATTACAGATGTCCGCGATTCATTCAATTTTATTTCAGCTAAATAATTTTCAACCGCAAGCTTTATAGCAGCGCGATCACTTTCGGAATGTATTCCAATCTATGGAATTAAAGGTGCGTAAATATTTTCAAGAGAATAGCATACGTGTCTGCCTTGAAGAAATTGATATATCACATACACTTTTCAATTGTTCTTCATCAATATTCGGTAACAACGATGGCAGAGAAGCTAAAAATGGCAAGCAGTGTAATGCACCAGCTATTGCAACATGTCGTACCAACGTCGGTTCTAACATTTCCAATAAACCCTGAGGTCGTGCTTCCATCAGAGATTGGTATTGCATCAACCAAAATTGACTTTGTCTTCTCGAATTCTTCAGGAAACATAAATATGTTATTCCTCTAATGAAGAAGTAGAACAGCATTTAGATTTGTGTACTCACATTGGTATAACGTTGTTGTTCTATGCTATTAATTGTTTCCAAAAGTTGATCTCTTCTGGCTTTTTGTTGCTCCAACAAGTTCATTAAAATAGCACTTAAAGCTACTCGTTTCTCAGCTATTTCATTCTGAACAATGAAAATGATACAGAATTTTATAATTCACTAATAATTGGCGAATTCAGTAGTACACAGATGACACGTACAAGCTGTTGATTGATTTCTAGTTTTCTTCTCTCCAGTTCAATATTTGTTAGAGCCGCTAGTTGTGATTGTACTAAATTGACCTGTTGAACGATACTCCAACAACGTGCGTCACTACGTTCTAAAAGTGCAGCAACGGCAAGCTTCTGCAAAACTTCATCTTGCCTTAATGTATCAATTAAATTTTGTCTATTCTTCTCTTGATCCTGTACTATTTTTGCTAAATGATCATTATTTCTCACTTCCCTGAAACGTTTATAAGACCATAAATGTGTCGTGTCTTTTTAGTGTAACAACATTGTCATTAAGTTACTAACTGCATGAGCAAAGACTGCGCCGCGTAATCTCTATCTTTACTATGTTCTTTCAGTTTCCTGGTTCTGTGAAGCTCCTCTTCAAGTAATTTCTCCATCGAAGCTAAAAAAAGTATACATTACTGTATAAACGTAACATTGCTTTATATATATTATACTAACAAAGAGTGTCTTTTGTGCGAAACATAAATTGTTCTGAGTGGCATGAAAATAATAGTTGCATTTCTTCCTGCTTCTCCCGTTCTATTAATTCAACTTGAGCCTGTCTCTCATCTTCACTGTTTCTTAGAAATTCTTTAATAACGTTGTCTGCTTCTTTTTCGGCTAAAGACAAAACTCAGTATGTTAGTGAGTTCAAAAAAGGTATTTTTCCATCTTTAAGTGGAGAAATATTTTGATGCTACCGTCATAAAGATAGGAGAGTAAACGGACTCTATTGGAATCTCTTTCCTGTTGTACTTTTTTCAGTTCGTCTTGTAGCTGTGTTTGTTGTAGTGCAAGATCCTCCAAAAGCTAGAGATGCAATAAAACAAAGTAATGAAGTCGATATATACTTAAATTAATGACTTTTTTCTGGACATACCTTCTTTTTATGTTCTTTCAACATCGACTGAATTCCAAATTCGTATTCTTGCTGTTGCTTAATAGTTTCTTCTACTTCCAACAATGCGTTTTGACGATGTTCCTATAAAACGACGCTAATTCGTAAATTATGATTTCGTGTTCTTATTTATTCTAGTTTATTTGAATGTTATATTGATTTGAAAATAATACAAGCGAAATTAGGCTTTTGTTAAAAGACACGTAATAATATAAATGTGAAATTAGTTAAAAGTATGCAACATAAAGAGACGTATTGAAAAAGCATACGAAAATAAAAAAGCATCCACATGCCTTCATTTTTGCTAGCTTCTGAAATGCTGCCTAAAAGTAAAAAATTAAAACATATAAGACACAGTGTGCAAGTGCGACATTAAAGTTGATAATCCTGTAATATGGGTTTATGTACATTGTTATCTTTATTATGATATACCCCTTGCATATCCTCACAACTTATATCTCTTGATATATCTGTTTCTGAAACGGATTCTTCTGGTGAATACTCGATACCACTTTCATTCGCTAGAAATGCAATAATTACTATGGTGCCTCCGTTTAGAATATCTTCCGGTGGATATGTCAAGTTCAATCCATCGACATTTAACTGTGTTAATTGTTGTGCATAACCCAAAGAGCTAGGAAGCTTATGGAGAGACTTATTTTGACTGACGTTCAATACAGTGAGTTGTTTTAAATTTCCTATCGCCTCTGGTAACTGTTTCAAATTATTCTTTGCGACATTTAGGATGTTTAAATTACATAAATGTACTATTTCATTTGGCAGTTTTCTTATGTTATTCTCCTGCAAGTAGAGTTCCTGAAATATACATACAAAGTTTAATTTATAGGTTCCCTTATCGGTTACTCTATCTCGACACATACCTTGAGAGACACAAGACACATTATGTCCGATGGTAAATTTGTAAATTCGTTTCCATGAATATCTAGTACAACAATTAATGACAAATCGTTTAAGGCACCTCCACCAGAGAGTGAAGTTAATTTGTTATCATACATCCATAGCACCTTCTTTCTGAATACCTTACACAATGAATAAATACCAGAGGGTACTTGTTTTAAAGCACATTCAGACACATCGAATATTGGTTCTGGATTTTCTCTAGCCTATCAGGAAAGACGACAGTTGAAATTAATATCAATTGCAGTTAAGATCGAGTTATTGCTAATAAAATGTAAGCATTCATTGAGTAAATTAAATCGGCGGAATGAATGGGAAAGATATCGGTTATCTAACAATATTATAATTCCTCTATATAATGATCATAAAAAATGTATTATAAATATATTATAGCATGTGTAAATTGAAGGCTAAAGTTGAAGGTTACTCGTATGATCGAGATGAATGATTAACCTTTACTTGTTAGGGACGTACCAAGTATAGCTTGTGCTCTAATCGAGCTTTATAATCGACGTTAGCCGTGTTCCCATGCTTTCGCGGTAGAGGCATTATTAATCGTGTATGTCATGACAATAAAAGAACATTACGAGTGCAGGTCATTCTGCCATCGAGGTTTCGCACGTGATTTCGTGTATACCTTTGAAAACAGGAAAACACTACTTAACCAACATCTGTCAATTTGACAGTCAGTCGGTGAAACGTATGAAACAGTGACGTACGTTGATGATAGTAAACCCTGTAGAAACGCGTGAAACATAATTTTATTTCAAAATTATCTTTTCATTAATGAATATTTCCGGAATTAAGAGAATAGAGAAAAGTGTATGAATTCTATATTTTTCGTTCTTGTCAAGATTTACTTACCGAATAAATAAAACGGTTGATAACAATTATTTAAATATTTTATTTAGCTATACATCGTCATACAAATAAAGAGATTACAAATATTATAAAAAACGTTATGATACGTATATCTAATAATTAACACTGTTTCAAAACTGAACAGTAGAAACGTCTACATTCACACATGTACTTCAAATTATGTTATATGTAATCCTGTCACGATCTGTATTAACAATTGATTCACAAATCTAAATATATTTTTAGTTTCTAAAATACTGCTTTCATATATATTTACATATGAAATAAGTATTCTAAAAAATAGGCAGTTAGTGCGCATGTATATACATCTAAAATCTGAAGGAACTAATTCGAGCGTCTTATTCACCGGAATCTTAGTCTTCTCACAAATCTATCTAAATTCTAAAAATACAATTGACGAGCTGATTCTATTAGCTTGTCAATTAAGTGAATACAAGTTGAGATCGCTTTGTGCGTAAGAGATGAAAGCTACCATCGACTTTGTTACAAATTTTGTGATAGTTCCTTCTGTCTTAATCGATATTCCGTCGGTGTAAGCATACCTCTGAAAGACAATAATTTTTATTTAATTAATTGAATGTCCTAATTCAGTTGATTTATATTTTTCATGTAAGATCACTTATTTAAAAGGTACCTTAGAACTGTGTCAAAGGAAACGCAAACGCCTTTATCACACATTTTTCTGTAAAGATGCCAACATTCCTTCTCCTTATTAGTTTGAAGATGCGGCTCATTGGACACTGATTGTTCGGGTTGTACGCTTTCCTTCGACAGTGATACGAACTTAGATTTCACCTGGGAATTTCAGAGATCATTCTCTAATAATTTAATATTCTAGAAGGACTAAAATAGTTCTATTACATTTATAGGTGAATTGTTTGCGGATGCTTTATTCTGTTGCATAGGAATTTCCATTTTTTGTAAAATATTTCTGGACGATTCTTGTATTTTTATCTTCTGCGACGAGGCTTGCGTCTCTGCGACACTGAAATATAAATTATTCGTATTGAAACGCTATTATTCTTCTTCGAATAATTGAAAATTATTACTATTAAGCAATTCTACTACTAATAATTTAATACACGTCTTTAATTCTGAAAGGATACGAAAAGAGCATAGTCTTCGTTGAATACGTCTGAACGTTTAAATCAAGAAATCTGTTATCGATCCACTTTTTTGTTACCCTTGAGGAAAGAAAGAAGAAACGTATTATGAGGTCTATTAATAAAGTTTAAAATCGTTTCCTCTGTTCCAACTACCAACAAGAAAGCACATTCTACAAATTCCCTTTTTTCATCGATACTATAAATTCCCGGATCGCCGAATTCGTGACATCATTTTTAAACACTACTTGCTATTATACTTACAGATAATTGACGTTGCAAGTAGACTCTTGTCACGCTTGTGCATTAAAAAAAATTTAATGAAAAATTGATCGGTCGCGGTGAAATAATAATCAATACACGTTATCACAATTTCCTCTTACGTAAATAGTATTCCACGTATCGCTTACGAAATGATTCATTTCTAAGAAAAACGTCCTCATGCTGACAGAATTTAAAACACACGATAAATAAATGCTAAATGGAAATATTGCTTAATACAGTATGAATTTTTTTAATCATTCTTGTAAAACACGTCTACTCGTTTATTTAATTTTAATAGAATTTCCTTTTTAATAAGTATAAACGTTTTTATACTAAACAATTAGTTAAAAGTCGGACTATTCTATTGCTTGGATTTGAACGGGGCAAAGCAAATAGAACTTAGTCACGATACAATCTTTCCGGGATAATGAAAATCCAATTTCTTTTCTACTTACGGCCGCGACGTTGTGTTACGCGTTTTCAGTAGCTTCCGTTTTTTATCGTGTGAATCACCGATAGGTACGGCCAGGCATCTCTTTTCGCGATCAGTCAACGGCACATCGAGCGGCTCTTCGGTATCGTGAATTAATGCCAGAACAGGCAAAGCTTCACTACCCACGTCTGTTCTCCACGAGACCGTTTCCTCACTCGTCACGATTATTTCGTTTCCACGTTGGTTAACGATCGCCAGTCGCGATTGTTGTGTCGTTGTCCTTTTTTTCTCTTCCTTCGGCAAGGGTTGCTCTTTCACCGAGTCATCGTCGAACGAGTCCTTCTGAAAAGAGACTATAAGCAAAATCTCTGTTCTTCAACAGGAAATTAACTCTCGTATCAATACATAAAAATTGCACATATATCGTCATTCTATATAGAAGAATCGCTGGGAGAAATCTGTCCGCTCGGGCTGGTCTCAAAAATTATTTGCTGGATCTTTGATCTGTTTCCAAGTTTAATTAGATCGTCGAAGATTTTAATGTATCAGACTTATGTATTTTAATAGAACTACGAAATATATTTAAAATGTCAGGGATTCAATCTGTCGATTGTATGAAGCCTTTTAAATTACTTAAACCAATGAAAGATGAGTTTTGGAATTTTGTTTAAATCTGAAATGCTCGTGAACGATGGAAGTCACGATACGGTTCCATTCGTTTAATCGTTCCCATTTGAATAAATTGTTCGATCGCGTTTCTACGTCATACCACTATTAGATTTTTATAGACGGGTTCAATTGAATCAAGGTAATATCGGCTCGGGCAATTTTATGGCAACGATAGCTATGCTCGAGCAACCCAATTTAATGGTCGTAACACTTCGCCGTTTACCGAAAACTGGGACAAACGATATCCTGTGTCATTGATTTCGTTTTTAAGCAACTAAACGAGTTACCTAATGGTTTTTCGCCAACTGTAGCCCAGTTCAATTTTCTGTTTAGAATAGCTAGGAAGAACGATTAAAACGAATAAACGTAAAATAGTTGATTACTTAGTTTATTAAAAGTTAAGTTTCTTAAGTATCTGAATTGATTCATTATACAGGGTGAGGAACTTAAAATAAGCCACATGAATAACGTGACTCCTATTGGTGACAGGAAAACAGGGTCAAAATTATTTGGTATTGAGGGGATCATCTGGTGTTACTAGTTTTTTGATAGGTGGAGGCGTCAAGCAGATATGAAGGTCATCCCTGTTTTTTAAATGGAATTATGTGTATAGAGTAATTCATGTTTCCTTGACTCTTCCACTTATCAAGAAACTAGTAACACCAGATAATCCCCTCGATACTAATTTTTTCCTGTCATCAATAAGAGCCAAGTTATTCAGATGGCCTGTTTTAAGTGCCTCAGCTATACTTTAAAAAATATCATAGGACTTTTCTTATTTAATTATCCTAGTTATTCCAAAATTCTTTCAATATTCTTCTTCTTTTACCTATAATTCAAAACTTGGCGATAGGTACAATAAGGCTTGAATGCGTATTTCCCAAATACTCATTCTTTGAAGTTTCATCGACTTTCTACCCCTCGATGGGGGGTGGATTGATGGCATCATTATTAAAACCCCTTTACGTGGCGAGCTTCAATGAAACATTTTACCTTCAGGGTCAACGGAGTAATAGTGACCAAGAGAAGAAGTTTGGTCGATTTAACTTGTTCGATACCTTCTCTCATTATCCTCACGGATTTCATGCTGTTGCACGATAGAAGTTACCTCTAATTGGCCATGGAGTATGTTTCAAGTACGATTCGAGTGTGAAAGATATCGTCAGGAGTTTCCACGTTCTAGTCATACTTTGAATTTCTTCAGAGAACTTCTCGTAACGAGAACAAGGTAAAGCCTTTGGAACGGAAATGAAGATT